TTATCTCTCTCTCTCTCTACTACACACACACACACACACACACACACACACACACACACACACCCCGCATACAATTTTCAAATGTGGGTACCTAAGTTGTTTGCATAAAACCCACATTTGTGCAGGCAAAATGGCTGATTATGTAAGCAGATGGGTACATACGTTATGCACACAACTACCTATTTTGCATATACAAATGCTTGCTTGCAGCCACAATGTTGTGGACACATCGTAACCACCAATGATTTAAAGGATGTGTGTGTTCTTTCCTGAAGATCAGGCTTAGATTAGTGAATTTCAAAATGCTGCTGCTTACCCAAAAGGCTGTTACTAGTAGGGAAGGAGCTGGAAAGCCTGTGAGGATGTGGGGTGAAGACGGGAACTAGCAGTGCATTGTGGGTTTTGAGGAACAAGAGATCTGAAAGTCTATGTGTGGGTAGGGAGAGATGGCATCTATGCAGGGAGAGGGAGCTGAGGGTTGGGTCTAGGTTGTGTAAATATGAAGGTACCTCCTTAGCTGAACTTTTGAACAAGTTTAGACAGAGTTTGATTTGTCTAAAATTCTAGTCACAATAAATAATACAATCTTTGCTTACCATTGTATCAGTGTATTCTTCCAGCTTTGCCTCAGGAATCATCTTTCTGTGCTGCAAAAAGAGATCTCCCAGGAAGTCCTATTGACAGAAAAGAATAGAGTAATAGACTTTACCCTTTGGAGTTCAAGGAATAATATTAAAAATTGAGGCCCCAATTCACCAAGTTACTTAAACACAAGCCTAACTCTGAGTACATGAGGAGTTCCATTGGCTTCAATTTAATTTAAATTTATTTGATCTTTTATTTTTTTAGTTTATATATAGTGTTAAAATATATTTTAAAATAATCAGATTCTCCTGTAACAGACATAATGGAACCGTGAATTAGAGGATCAGCTGTATGAGGGGACAGTGGATTTTTTTTAAGTGATATTTATTACACCCCAAACACTTAACTTTCTAAATAATCTTAAATCATTATGGCCCAAACTCAACAAAGCACTTACGACCAGACTTTTAAAGGTGTTTAATCACCTAAATCCACACTTAAGCATATGTTGAAGTCCCACAGACTTCAATGGGACTTCAGCATGTGCTTAACTTTAAACATATGCTCTCTCTCAGCATATGCATAGTGTGCCCAGCCATTTGATAGCATCATCATCAGCCAGGTGAAGAGCCGGTAGCCCGCGGTTGAAGTAAGCCAGCAGGCACTCGTCAAGGATGTGCAACATAGTCTGAAGTTAACCGCATCTACATCGCAGGTTGTTAGAGAAACCCATTTGAAACATCAGGGAAGTGTGAGATGAGGTCAAAGTCATCAGTACCATAACATCCTGCCATGCTGATAGCAACATAAGTTTCTTGCAAACAGATTACATCGGTACTGTGACGAGTGGCTAAGGACTAATGACTCTGTGTTGGCTGCTGACAGACCCTCAACATTAAGCTGAAGAATTCGAAGTGCCAGTCCAATGGCTCAGAAGTCAAAAGATGGCAATACATTGGGGTTACAGTCAGATGGCATGTGACCAAGAATCATTGCCGAATTTGTTGCCCAAGTGCTTTGCAGACCAATGATAGATTTCTGAACGTGTTGAAAAGTGAAGTGTTTGATTAAGTGCTTTGCTGAATCGGACCTGGGCTGGAAAGTAAAATAAATGTTGAGCTAAATCCTGCCCCCACCTTTGCAGGCACAGAAAACCATTTATTAATAGGCACAAAAGTAATCAGCTAGTTAATAAAATGGAACTGCTGTGGCTCTGTTCTGCCGGGGCTGGAGAGGGGAGGCCGGGCTAGGGACTGTGCACATTTGTAAGATATGGAGGAGTGCTCTGGTGGTTGTCTCCACAGCAGTCCAGAGGTGAGTTTGGGTGGGGGGGAGGAAGGGATGTAAGCCCAGGGATGGGGGGAAGGAGTGGGACACAAAGGTGAGCTCAGGTGGTCCACAAATAAGAGGATCTACTGGCCAGTTCCTCACACAACCATGCAAGAGAACCACAGATCTAGCAGCTACAATTACAGCCAATGTGTTCTCTAGTGATTGATTGCTACAGAACAATTTTAAAATGCCATTTATCAAGCTCACAAAAAGGCAGTGGAATTACTAAAGCCAGTGGAAAGACTCCCATTGATTTCAGTGAGTTATAGATCAGGCCCAAAAAGAGGGATAAAATAACTTACTTTGAGCTCGCCGGCTGAAATAAATCCACTGCTATCAGCATCATATTTGCGCCAAATCTGGAGGGGAAAAATTGGTAAGACCACATTAATTTTGCACTTAATCGTCAAATAAGTTGATTATCTCATACAGCTCTAGATCAGATCTCATTCAGTTCCATAATTTGCATGTAGCCATATTATTGAGTACTTAATTCACTATGGACAAAGTAAAATTATCCACATACAGTGTTTTTTACTCTTATTTTGATGTTGACAGAACTGTGTTTAGCATGCTGTGGAAAAAAGGAATCTGCAATCAGCTATTCATTACAGACAGACAGTCTCTTTCTATAAAGGAAAAATATAATCAGACTGAGAACCTGATCAAAATTTTGTACCTAATTTGTGCACAAAGCCATCATGGTTGCATACTCACAGTGGTAATTTGCCTGGTCATTGTGTCCACAAACACCCAGTTTACATGTTAATCAAGATTATATATTCAGTTTGGAAATCAAGCCTTTGAAGTAGAGGAATATATTTAAAAATAAAGTTTTTTTTTAATAATGGCTTTTAAAAGCTCTCACTACCCTGGAGCTTTTCCTATAGGAGTAAGTCGCTCCATGTCTATGAAGGAGTCGTGCATAATTCTGTTTGGCTATTCACCCAGGTGGGGTATTTTTGTTTTTTGTGGGCAAGTAATTTTAATGAGCAAGTTTCCATATCTTTTGTTATAACCATCATCACAATAAAGGGTAAGCAAGTACATTTTGTCTGGGCTGCTCAATTTTCATGAGTGTTGCAAGGCTGACATAGTGTTTCTGCAGCAGGCAGCAATGCCAAGAATATAGGACCAAATCCTCCCCCAGATTTGTGAATCTGTTCAAAAGCTGGTAGATCAGGCCACTTGATTTCCCCAAATGTAGGGGAGCTCCTTGGGTGGTCTAGAGTTGCCATAATGGCTCTCACTCTGCTTCCTTCCTTGCCCCCCTTGTGCAGAGGTGTGGCAAGGAAAAGGAGGCATTCCAAGGGCATCCCTATACCCCAGTGCTCCCCGACTGACAGAATTGCACTGGCGGTCCACAGCCCCACACCAGGGCCACTTAGCAAATCCCTCAATCCACTCTAAATTGTGCCTTGGAACTCGACGGACATCTTCAGAATCAGGGACGAGTGCCAGTACCAAGGTGGCTCAAAACCTTCTTTGCCAGTTCCCATTGATCTTTGTCCAGTGCACAAATGATAAAGCCGAGGATCTGACCCCAGCTCTCTAAAGGGTTAAACTGTTCAGTGGGTTGCTACAGAAACCTTTCATCTCTGGAGAAAATGGACATGTATCTTTAAGAAAGTCTGCAAAGTGCAAGCATCTACTATATGCATCTCCAGCCTATCTACGGTATCTCTATCTTTTGAGCATTCCTACCAGAATGTTCACAACTTCAACACCTAAGAAAATGAAGCCTTCAAAAATAACACTGTTTTCCTTACTGAACATGAACTTTACAAAATTCCACAGAGGTCTAATATACTAAACTACTTTAAATAAGAGTCTGCTTATAGGTGTCATTCAGAATAATTGACAGCAACGTACAAGGGGTGAAAGCAAAAGACACACACCCGCATAAACTCCACACTGTTGTCCAAGGGTGTTTCCCGTCGGAAAAGCAGCAGAAAGTTCTCATCCTCTGGCAAGATCATATATGCAAGCTAAAAGAGGCAGGTAAAGATTAGAGCAAATTTACATGACTAGTGGCACTATGCAGCAAATAAAAGATGACCATGTTGTTTCCATGTAAATTACACTTTGAGCAAGCAGTTTGAAATTTACACACAACCTGGCTTATCTTTGTGTCCCCATTCCCTCCCCTCCACCCCCCAACGTCCCAATTATGCATGATCCATTTTCTAATTTCATTGTCTTTCAAAAAAAGAGATATTTTGGGAGTTTACCTCATGTATTTGTAAACGTCCATCTGCAGTGACATCGTAGGCAGACATGAATCGCTCTTTCACCCTCTGAAGCTTTTCCTCTGTTATGGCATCCTGCCGTTTGAAAAGCCACACACACACACTCAAACAGAATCATTTAGGGCACTAGAACATCTCCTGGATGAAATTTACTGTCCCAATTGTCCCATATATGAATGTTACATCATTTAGAATTCTCAGTGTAGTGCTTCTATTGGTCCATGCACAGATGCCACATAGGGTAAGTTTTAGAATGGAACCCTATATGTAGCTCAGTGGCTCATAAACAGTATGATGGAGACTCATTTCAGGCATCTGGAGATGCCTAAATGTTTCAATGTCATTCTCCTTAGCCAGCTGGTCCCGGGGGCGGCGGGGAGTGTGTATTACAAGAGCTAGAATGTCCATTTTACTCTTGTACTTTACGGATTAGAGCAGTTTCCTGGGAAATACATCTTTGTACTTTTTTATTAGGTCATTTGGCTTAGCAGATGTTGGTGACATTGTAGCTGGCTTGTTTCATACGGCTATTACCAATGTGAATGGAGATCTAGAACTGCTCTGAAACTAAGCCCTGGAGGTATCAGTGTTTATGATATGGAATTTTAAGCATCCTGCATTCTTTGTACTTGCATGTCCAATGACTTATTCCCCTTTCAAACAATTTCTAGGTGGTGAAGGTGAGAAGTTGAGTGTTTAACTGTTTATATGATTTGGCAGGTATTATACTGACTTGTGGCCATTTTAACCTGGCAACATTTTTGAACAACTGGTCTGGCTGGGCTGTACCACCTGTGATACTAAAGCAGCTACACCTTATTTTGGTTAGAAAAACTCAAGCAGAGATAGGGAGAAGAAATTTAGTGATGATACGCGCAGCATCCAAAAAGAAACACACCACAGCTGACAATTAGGATTTCCAAAGGAGATATCTCCAATAATTTCAGATAAATAACACTAGCAAGGCAGTCTGAATAGAAATACCCATTTATGTCACACCTCTCTGTTTCCCCACTTGGCTAGTTCAGAGACTCATCATTACCCCTTCTCTGCCTACTGTGGGGTTCATATGCCTTCCTCTGAAGCCTTGTGGCCACTGTCAGACAGAATAGTGGTGGACCTTAGGTCTCATCCAGTATGGTAATTCCTAGGTTCTTATGACAGATAGTCCTAGAAAAGTGAGTCCTATTAAGAGAATTGCCATGACTGCATACCACTTGATTAAGGACAAAGGAATATTAAAATCAAAATTGATTGATGTAAAGAATGAATACCAATTCTGTCTCCCACTGCTGAGGGTGATGAAGCCGGAGATACTGAGAGCTGCGGTCCAAGCACAGGAAAAGCTGAGCACATGGGGATGTCAGACCATGGGACTAGAAGCCAGGAACTCCTGAGTTCCAGTCCAAGTGCTGACACTACCTCTTTGTGGGGTCTGGGGCAAGTCACTTAACCTCTCTGCTTCAGTTACCCTACATGTAAAATGGGGATCAAAACTACTTGCTTCACAGTAGTTAATGTTTATAAAGTGTTCTGAGGATGACAAATGTGGAACTTATTCTTAATTTAACTAATTATTATTGCAGCAGCTTTCCAAGGTTTAAACAAGGCAATGACCGAAGGACTTGTCATTGGGCCCTGAGTCAGCAAAATACTTAAGCATGGGCAAAATTAGCATTTACATCCACTTTTCATTGTCAGAGGTACAAGGCCATAGAGAATCAGGCCCTCAATCTTTCATTCCGGAACAATCTATAAACTTCTTGCAGCTAACATGGTTGTGCTGTAGGCACAATGACTAAGGCTAGCACTGTACTATCACTGTTAACTCACAAGTCGATATTTTGAAAACTTGCTCCCTGCTGAAATGAATTACAGTAAGGACACCCATGCCTTGAATCTCACAAATCTTTTTGATACCATGCAGAATAATCAGTAGTCACGTGTGACCCAGGAACCTTTTGGTGCCAACTGGCAGAGGGAAAGGGGATTCATAGGATTTTAATAGGGATCCCCTGGGTCAGATATATGCATATTAAGTTCACCAAAGTGTGGCGTGTGAGGTCTCTAGTAAGAGACAATAGCCCACTAGTCACCCCAATCATTTCAAAATGTATGGATGGATAATAATTAAGGATTTGGAGATCTATGCTGGAAATTACATTCTCAAAGACTTGGAGTTAAGGCAGATAACCAAGAGATGACATGACTTCAACAGGTTCCTTTCAAACAGGAGGTAGCAGATACTTAGCTCTGTCTGGTCATATGTGTATTGGACATTGTATGTCTCACAATGCAGGCCTATTTGCATACTGAGCCCAATACCCACTGCAATATTTACAGGAAGAAATAAACAGCAGGAGGGGATCCTGTTTACCAGTAAAGACAATGGATTGTGGGGTATTCCTTGGAGTGCAGAGGTACAGTCTAGATTTTTCACATAGGAGAGAAGCTGACAGTGTGGCTTGTCTCATGAAAAAGGGATCACAGCCTGTGTGGCTGGAAAGTGTTGGTAATACTTTATTAGACACGAGGGTCTTGCTAATTAAGCCTAGGTTCTAGAATATGTTATGATTTGATTTTATTTATTTTCTTTCAGTACTTCTACGTGTTATCACTCAAATCTCTCTACTTCGTTGAATTAATTTATTTGTTTTCACTGTAAACTTACCTAAGTGCTGTATGTTAAGGGGAACAGTGGTCTGAGGTGTACCTGGTAAGATGGGTTGTATTATTCCTTTGGGAGCAGTGAATCTGTGAATACTTTGAGTGTCCAGTGAACAGGGGGTGGACACTCCAGGGAGACCTCAAAGGGCTCAGGGGTTGGAGTGTGCCTATCGCTAACCTGCAGAATCAGAGTGGGGCATGCATAGTCTTAGAGGGGAGTGCTTGTGTTGCCTGTGGCCAGTGGAGGTGACACAGACAAGGCTTCCTCATGCTAAGACCAGGTGGTATCGAAGTGCCTCACAGCCCTGGTACCCATGGGGAAGCATCACAATATGATGGTACCAATTTCCAGCTGGTTCAAAAGAATACTACTGTTTAGGATTTTTTTCCCTTAGAACCTCTGCCACAGTCAGCAGTAGTTACTTTAGTAGAGTAACATCAGGATTTCATAGATGAGAGAATGGAACCATGATTAGATTATGGGCTTGCCTACACTTGAAGTGCTACAGTGGTACAGCTGCACTGCTGTAGTGCTTCCATGTAGACACTTCTTATGCCAACATGGATGGATAGACAGACAAAACAAAAAAGTGGGGCACTTTTGAACAAACACAATACTGTTTTCTTTCACCTAAAAATTATAACTCTTTCTTGTGGTATTTAAATTGGCTTCCAGAGCAGAACACTTCCCAGGCGTTAGGCAAGCGTATCAGTTGCTATTTTCAATAGCCTGGCAAACTACTCTGAAATTATCCTCCTCCATGCCCAGTAGGATAAGTTATTTTTGAAACTATAATCATCACGGATATTTGAAAAAATGTGCTGTGGAATTCAAACTAGTGTTTTGTTATAAAAGCTTATTGTTCAACCGTATGTCAGCTTTTAACAACTTCACTGAATTTTAGCTATGTAAGAGCATTGATAATGAGAATAAAAATAGGAGTTTTTACAATTAGCTATCTTATTGGCTAAATCACTTAAAGATGCATCATTTGGAATGTATGCAAACCATAGCACCATTAGCTTTTGGTCCAGATGTTCTTCAGTCTGACAGATGTTTCAAAGTTGCCCTCCCTCTCTATGCAGCACCATTCTCTTTCTTGTAATGTAAAAGTTAATAGGAGTCTATTCCTATCACTAAGCAGATCATTTTACTTCCAGAGAGCAAAGGCAGAGTCAAAAATGCATAATCTGGGGTTTCGGAGAGGTAGGCTAGAAGTGAAGTGTTTATATATCAAATTGTACAACATCAACTTCAATCTCCAGCTTTGTTCTTTAGCGCCGTACCCAACATTTGGAAAGACAGGATCTATTCTGCTGTTGATGCAGGGCAGTCAAGAGCTGCATTTCACCCCCACATAGGGGAGTAAGAAAGCATCTTATGTGGCTGCCCTGGGGCTGCTACTCTCTCCACTGTGCAGGTGGATGGGGACTAGGGCAGCCATGGTCAGCTGTTGCAGCTGAGTTGTTGCACAGGCCAAGTAAGTTGCTCCATGAAAAGACCTGAGGCAGCTTAGTTCCCATCTGAAGGAAGGGGGAAGCAGGGGTCAAACATTGACTCTAGGAAGCTTAAAAAATCTGAATCTACTCTGGGTGCTAGGTTTTGTTTTCACATCACTGCTGTAATATTGCTACAGTGAGGCAGTGAGTCTGGAAAGATTATAGTGTTAATATCACAGTAACAAATATTGCTGATAGTTAAAACTTCAGAAGTCTTGTGCATTTGGGAGGGGCTTACCCCAGAAACAGCAGGGAAAAAATTCTTACCCATCAACCTGGAAGCAGAATGTAAAATACTAGAGGTCGGGGTCTGAAGACAGTTTTGGGTTTTACAGTGGAAAATGTTTAAACAAATGACATACATTTTTACTATTAGTTATAGAGCTTAACATACTTACAGATCTTTATATCTTCAAAGCACAGTACAAACATCAATTACTATCACTTAACTGTATAAATTTAATTGGTTTTCTATAATTGCCATGGTTTCCACAGACAAGATTCAAATGTCCCTAAAAAAAGTGTCTTGCCCATGCACAATTAATTTACACGGTGTGGATGTGACCTGAGGATGCATTTTCTACAGTCAGAAGATACTACTGTAGTTTGAAAGGTAACTGCTAGCCCGTATTAGTGCTCTCCTCCTTCCTACCCCAAATCTTGGGTAACTTGAGATTGTTCATATTACAAGGAGAAGAAGTGAGAGAGGGATCGCGCTCCAGACTGACAAACATCAACTACATAGAAACAGAGCTACCACACTGATCAGAGCCAGGTGTGACAATAACAGAAAATGTGGAAGTGGCAGAAGTGTTAAATTACTTTTATTGTTTCAGTTTTCACCAAAAAGTTTAGTAGCAATTGGACATCTAACTTAATGAATGCCAGTGAAAATGAGGTAGGATCGG